AGGCTCCCCGTTGCTCCACTTAATGACTCGTGTTCATTTAACAACCATATCTCCAATAAGTTAAGCATTCAGCATACTAAGCCCAAATCAGCAAACTACCCATAATTTATCGTGATCCACGAACCGAGACAGAAGTTTTATTGTTCTTTTCCTAAACTGGGAACTTCCTCCCTTGCTAGTGTGTTCTATACTTTTTCTGATGCGTTTTTTGGGGGGAAATTAGACTCCATAACAAAATTTGATCATACATCTAAGGTTCTTTCAGTGGAGCCGCTGAAAAATGGTTTCTAAAAAGATAAGCAGGTAAGCAGAATTGCAATGTTTGGCTATTATGCTTACTTGTATCGATGACATTATTCTTTTGTTTAGATCTGGCTCCAGTCTGAATCCAAGACATTTTTAGGGCACCGGCCATGTTTTTTTGAAATCTCTTCTATGCTCTTGCATTTGTAGCAGTGTAGCTTTATAACCCTTCGGCTGATGCTGTTTTACGGAGAATATTAGTCCAACTACGGGAGTTATTTCTTCATGCTCTACTGGTGACCATTAGCTGTGAAAAAATTAAAGCAAGTCATGAAAGATAGGACTTGGGAGCTCCAGGTTATAATCTTCAGATACTCATTTGGGCTTTCAGGCTTTCTCCATTGCCTTTCAGCTGCTATGAAACGCTACAGCAAATACGTCCGATCTAATCAGGCTACACCAGATAGGTTGGTGGTCTGTAGGTGATGCAGCCAAGAGAAGAAGGCTTTGCTCCTCAGAAAAGGCAGCGACAGACTTATATCATCCACTGGCTTTATGAAATACCATTTGGGCAAATTCCCTGAGCTTTGAGCCCCTTCGATGCATTTGTTTTACCTCTTAAGATGTATTTTGCACAGCCTCCTTTGCCTTAATGACTGAAGCATAAAAAGGATTTGCAATTTATATGCAAGTAGTCCTTGATTTACAACAACCAAGACCAGAAATCCCATTGCTAAGCGAGACAGTTCTTGAAGGGAATCATGCTCAATTTTATGATATTTTTTTGCCACAATTCTTAAGTGTAGCTGCTTTGAGTGGCACAGCAGATTGCCTCACGCCAGCTGCTGAAGACACAGGGAGAGTGCAGGAGTGCAAGAGATGAGTAGGAAAGCCTCTGTGTGTGTGCAAAGAACACATTTGGTGTGTGCGCCCACACGCCCACAAAGCCACGCCCACCAAACTCATGGTAAACCACTTTGAAACCCACCACTGAAGCAGACTCCCTTCAGCTTAAGGGGAACTCAAGTGTTGCAATCAGATGGAAGAGAAGCAAGAGGCCAAATGTCCCTAATTACATAAGGAACAAGTGTTTTGCTCCAGCAACATTTCCCACGTACAGCAATCAGCATCACCACTTTGAAACATACTGTACATGGCAGCGCATAGAAGCCAACATTTCACAAAATGGAGAAAGGGAAGAGTTTCTGGGCAAAAAAGCATGAGGACAGATTGGATCACATGTATTTTTTATGAGTGAAATATTAATCTCATCAGGATATTACGCCAACAGAAATTTTCAATGCAGCTATTAGAAAATTGAGACAAACAAATGGTTGTAAGTCAAGGACTACCTGTAACCCAGTCATTTTATTGATTTTGCGTGGCTGAGGTGTGGAAAGGGAACTTCATGAGGACAGTGGTGACACCCAAGCAGGAAAAGCCCAAAGGGAACATCAGGCCAGCCATAAAACAAACTTGCATAGGAAAAGAGATTTAATAAAAGGTATTGAAAGAAGCCCCTTAGACAAAAGCCCAAATAATTAAGAAAACTAAGGAAACAAGAAAAGAAAACCCTTACAAACATAAGACATGCCAAATCAGCTAAACAAACAGACAAAAGACACAAAATATATTGCAAAGGAGACAGACAGGAGATTGCCACAAAACAAATATAAGAAAACATTAGGAAACTGATAATCCAATCAAACTACCCTGCAAAGTTTGCCTTCTGCACCCCACGGAGTTTACCCTCTGGCGGAAATGAAGACAACCCCTGACAGGATTTAAAACATTAAGAAATACAAACAAGCACTCACACACAAAAGGAGAAAAAGTATAAAATTCAGGGTTTTATTATACAAAGAGAGCTAGCTCCAGGAACGCAGACTTCTTGATATCTCTCGCCTTCCTGAAAAATAAAAAGAACTGGCTTCCAAGTAGTTGTCTGAATCCTTGCACTGGAGTATTCCCAGCAGGAAAACCAAACCCTCAGAAGAAAGGCATTTAACAGCCTTTCAACAGAGGAATGGCCTTGAACCTTGGCACCCAAGGGCTGCCAAGGGTTTGACCATCATGCCACACTGGCTTGGTTAGCCAGCATACACAGCAGGCGAACTTATTAGTTGTACGGTCAGATATTAATATTGAAAGCACACTACTTAAAATCTGAAGGATATTTGCATCCCATTGAGAGACACTTATGGGTGTACTCCACTCCTGATTTTAGATGGGCCCCGGAGAGAGAAAACACTCATGGAAATAATCTGAAATGAGATCAGTTACTGGCAAATCAGGAAGCTGGACTGTGTGCTTTTATATTTAAAACATCTTGGCTCTTTTAATATATATATATTGGTTCCCCTTGGCCTCTGCACTAGAGAGTTCTCAAGCTGAAGGACTGCAAAGAATCTGAGTTCGAAGTTGCAGCCAGTTAATAATGCTGGACTAGAGGAAACAAAGGCCTGGCTTGGAAAGCAGGAGGACTTGGAAGCTAAGCAGGTTGGTTTTGGGATAGTTTGTAGTTTGACATTCAGAGGACTGACAGGTCTTGTCTGGGTGTCACAAAGAAAACATCTGAACCTTTCATATTATCCAACGAGATCTGAACTTTCATATTGTCCAAGCAGGTTGCACACAAAGGGTCTCAAATTCCATTGGCAGTGAAATATACTTTCTTTCTTGCAGGATTCACCCCAAACCTATATGTTTCACAGGCTCGGGGTTCATGAATCTCAGTCATAATGTGGTTTGCTTGGTTTGGATTTGCATATTTCCCCATGAGGCTGGAAAGCGGGAGGTGGTGAGTTCAAGTCCTGCCTTAACCATGAAAATCAACTGGGGGACTGACTTTGGCTACCCCCTCTCAGCCCAACCCATCTCACAAGTGGTTGTTGAGGGAAAAATAGGAGGAAGTTGTGTTGGATCTATTTGCCACCTTGAGTTATTTGCAAAAATAATAAGGGCAAGATACAAATTTATCTATATATGAAATACCACTCTCGCATCATCACAAAATCTCCAGAACTATAAAGCCTACAAACTTGAAATTTGGCATGCATGTTCCTCTTGGCTTCTAGGTGCTCACTAAGAAAGGGATTTTTGAAATGACCATGAGAGCATTAGTATTTTGTATATTATTATTAACACGCTCTGATGCTAAGGAGTTCTACTCCCCCTCCCCACCTGAAAAGAAATCTGTTCCAAATGCAAAACACAAGCAGAACCAAGCAGCTTTAGTATACAGAACAGTTGAGCTAAACCACGCCCTGTCTCCTCCTTGCTCACACAGCAAATACTGTTTCAGTTTCCAAACATCCAACAACTCTCTCACACACTGACAGGACGCTAGCCAGATGAATACCAATGGATCCTGGTAGGCAGAATTCCAACCCCCTCCTTTATTTTCCTCCCCAAAACTAAGCCCGACCACATAGTTTGGTATTGGTAGCTAATCACAGGTATCTAAGTAAATATGAGTCAAGAAATCTGGGCTGCCAAAATTCAGGTGACCGCTAGATGGCAGCAACACACTTAGGTGGGAGAAGAATCAGAGAGTGGAAGCTTTAAAGAGAATGATCCAACTTTACAAGCTCTCCCTCCTTCAAGCGTTCCAGAAAGTCAGCCCTATGAGTAGGATGCTCTGAGATTGCAGCCTTTGGCTCAAGTAATGCTGTGAATTTCCACAGTGTGGAAATTTGGAAACTTCATCCAATAGGCAATTACAAAATAAGGACTTGAAGATCTTTATGGTTTTGAAAGTTTCTCCTTATTCCCAGGTTAAATCTCTCCTTGTTCAGTTTCCATCCATTATTCCTTGTCTGGCCTTTGGGTGCTTTAGAAAATAGCTTGACCCCTTCCTCCCTGTGGCAGCCCCTCTCAGTCCAACCCACCTCGCAGGGAGGTTGTTATGGGGGGTAAAGAGGAGGGAAGCAGATGTATGCCGCCTTGAGTTGCACAAGATAAATGTGAGGTATAACTCTAGTAAAAACCGCTACATTTTATTTCAGGGGTCTCCAAAGTTGGCCACTTGAAGACTTGTGGTTAAGACAGCTGGCTGGAGAATTCTGGGAATTGAAGTCCACAAGTCTTAAAGTGGCCAACTTTGGAGACCTCTGCTTTATTTGAACTCCACCTCTAAATAACTGATCAGGGGTCCCCAGAAAGATTTGAAGGGGGTGCACAAGCGAAGCCTTTCCGCTATCCTCCGGCATTTCTGCTCCCCTCGGATGCGTAGGGGCTCGACCCCTCCCCAAATAGCCCTACGGATTATCCTGGAAGGCGACCAGGGCAAGCCTCGTCTGCCCCGTTGCAACTTTAGGTGTGTGTGTGTGTGTGTAGATAGATAGATAGATAGATAGATAGATAGATAGATAGATAGATAG